ATGATTCCACTTATATAAAGTATCTAAACTCATAGAAATAGGAAGTAAAATGGTAGTATCCAGAGGCTAGGGAGAGGGAGAAATGGAAGAATTGCTATTCAATGGATACAGAGTTATAGTTATACTAGATGGAAACATTTCAGAGATCTGCTGTATAACATTGTACTTAAAGTTATGATAGTACTATATCATATACCTAAAATGTAAGGAGTTAGATCTCATGCTGTATGGTTTTATTACCACAATGAAAAACAATATTTGCACCATTTACAGAAAAAAAAAATTTCTTACTGTATTTATAGATGTGATAGGATCTTCTGATCTATAGTTTATTTTTATGTATAAACATAGTTCAAAGATAAAAAGCAATCGTTACAAAATTAAATTGTTTTTGTTAATATAACTGTTTACAATAGAGAACAATGATCATATTATATCTGAAATTCCAATAACCTGGTCTCTAAAAATAATACTAAGTTATAAATTAAAACGTTCAACTTCTCTATGAAGCACTAAATTTCAGAGCCACTCTACGTTGGGGTAGTGGGTAGACATTGAGGAGTAGAGTGAAGAATGTGCTTAAAACTCAGATTCATGTTTTATCTCCTTCAAAAAACAGTGTCTGTCCTCAGGGACAGTCATCATAGTATAAGTCATAATACAATGACTATCAAAGGAACTTCCACAGATAATGGTGATCATTGCATTGTCTCTGAATTCCCTTAACCCAAAGAACAGCAGCTCAAAAGTAAATATCCATGGCAGATCATTGTACTTAAAAAGTCAAATACTTTTCCTTCATATTTAAAAATGCACCTTCTGGCCTACCAAACACAAATTCCACAGTTCATTTCTCACACGACGCTTTTGACACCTTATAAAACCCTTAATTTTGACATTGTTAGTAGACTCCTCCAACCAAATAAAATAGTGACTTTGTCAAATCTCTACATTTTCCACATGACTATGGCAAAATTAGATATAGGCAAATAACTGATAGATCTCAATTCGCCACGAACTCGAAATAAAACTCTTAACAGAGGCACCTGCCTGTGGCTCACAGTGAAAATCTGAGAGGATCTTGTGGTTAGGCTAACAAAAATATTCATTCATTCATCTCCATGAAGACAGGAAAACATGATCATCACTAGGTCTCTAAGGGTCTGCAAGTGTTCAAAATTTTTTTTCTTGAATTAAGGAATGCCCATGTTTGGATTCAGTCTGGAAAAGTATAATTGAACAAAAATACATGACTTGACATTAAATTAAAATGCTAAGCAAGCAACTCTTTTATAGACATAGAAGTCTTCATGATGTTCAGCATTATGAAATCTATATATTCAGAGCTAGTCCCTGTCTATAAAATTTAAGTATCAACATATAATATATTCACTTAGGTTTTCTTTATAAAATACATCCTTTAAGACTTAACTACTAAGTCAGAAGATTAAAGACAATTATTTTTGTTTATAATTTTACCCAAATGATAAAGTTCATGTTACACAATGTTATTTATAGCTATTACATAATACATAATCATACTACAGAACCTTAAAGTTCATAGAGAAAAACTACACAGTTTCTGAGATTGTGGAATACACAAAATAGGTTATCAACTTTGCTCTAGATACTCTGCAAAAAATATAATCAGGTCTTAAACTTAACCCCTAACCTTATCAAAGATTCAGTGTATCAAGGGTTTATTAACTGTAATTTTTTCTTTAGATCAATGCATTAATTTTTACAACACATATATTGTTAGTATTATCTTATATTTTCATTTCATGTAAGTAGCCATATTATTTATGCCAGTAGCTGTTGCAAACCTTTACCATTCTTGTTAAATCACTAAGCTGGACTCACCCACTCATTTTTAACAGATGGCCAAGCCTCCCACCTCACGGAGAAAATAGCAGCCATCAGTCACAAACCCCACCTCCTATGTTATCTGCATGTTCCCCAGCTTTCCTTCCTTCTTGTCCCAGAGGATATCTTGCCGCTCTTCCAAAGATAACACTTTAATCTGTATTATTGATTCCATCCTCTCCTCCCTTTCTTCCTCTCTTCCTGTGCTCCTTCAATAAATGCTTACCAAGTGCCTTCTGGGACCAAGATATTTTAAACTTGGGGATGCAGTGTGTTTCAAGACAAAACTCCCTCCTCATGGACTTTTCATTCTATTTTGTGTCTTCCAAGGCCTTTTTGACATTCCCCACCTTTTTTTTTAATCTTCACTATATCGTCTGTCATGGCTCATCTCTTTCAGACTACACACTTGTTTAACTTGTCCTCATATTTAAAATGCAGCTGCTCATTTTGCTGACCTTAAAGCCATGTATCTCCTTCCCTTGCTGCTATACTTCTGGAATCAGCCATGGTTTCTGTTTCAACTGTCACTATCCTGTTTTCACTCCCTAGTGCACAGCAATTTTACTTTTGTTCTCTCTACCCCAGTGAAACGTTATTTATCCTCAGCCTTTGACATCATCTTTCTTCCCTTGAATTTTTATGAATCCTAGGACAGAATGTAGTTCCTTCTCTTGGTAACACTTTAGCAGTTTTTTTCTCTGCTTAACTCTCCAAGATTCCTTCGTTGACCTTTTTTTTTCATTCTACCCATTCTGTCTGAACTATCCTACCCATATCCATGGTTTCAATTATTATCTATTAATGACTCCAAAATTCTGCATATTCAGGCTCTCCTAAAGTCATTATCTCTATTTTCAAGGACTCAAAAGTTATTCTCACTTAAATGTCCACAAGTTTCATGTGCTAAAGAGATGATACATATTGTTGTAGAGAAGTGTAAAGAAAAGTATTACTAGCCGTGATAACAGAAAAGTTCCAAAATCTCAATGGCTTTATAAAATAGGAGTGTTTTTTGTTTATAGTTTCTGTTTTTTTTATTGTTTTTCTTTTGCCTGTTTGTTTGTTTTTGCTTATGTAAGGTCTGGTTGCAGGTGGTGGTGGCAGTGTGGGGTAGGAAGTAAAAGTATTTGTATTTCCAGGGCCCAAGTTTGTGGAGACTGCTTTTTTATTACGTGGTTTCCAATGTCATCCAGTAGTCTACTGGTCTTCCAGTGGTCTACTGGCCATCCAACCAGTAAATGGGAAAAAAAGTTTAGAGGTAGTATGGAAGGTTTTTGTGCACTAGTTCTGAAATCCGAATTCACCAATATTACATTAAACAAAATTCAATGACATGGTCCCAACTGGATGCAAAGGTATTGGAAATGATAGTCCATGGCTAAGTAGGCACTTCATAGTAAGCTCTATATCATGCAAGCGCAACACAAATCTTTAGTAGACAGCCAGCAGTCTCTGCCACTGGAAATTCATGGATGACCTTTGCAAACAGAATTTTGTTTTCAGTCAGATGAATAAGGATTAAGAAGAAAGTGGAGACTGTCAGAATGCTTGTCTTTCTGGAAGCACAATGCTAGTGTACAGATGCTCTTTTAATGTTCACAGAACATTAAAATTTGGCTGTTAAGGAAAAGGCAAAGCTTGGAAAGCAATTGGCTTCTCTGCCTTCTATTCTTATTTTCTTTAATCTAAAACTCATATAACTGCCAGTGTGCCTTATATTTCTATCCTTCATTTCTTAGATTTTCCTTCTTTAAGTTTATAAAGTTATTTTCCTGATAATAAAAATAATTGATAAATTTAAGATTCAATCATTTTATTCCCTGAATAATTTCTCCAGTGATTTCAAGATGATGTACAAGCACACATTATGTCACAAAACCAGTACAATGGGACTCCAGCCTACCTTAACTGTCTTGTACTGAACTTTGTTGACTGTCATCAATTCAGTAGCCCCCTATCCATTATAAGGTCTATTCTTCACTGACAAAAAGAGAATAGAAACAAAGAGAATTCTGGGAAACTCTTCCCCATGTGGTTTTTAGTTAAAGTCTATTATTGAGAGGCATCGCACAAGATTTGGAAGGCAAATCCTTTCAAACACAAATTCCAAAGATCTGAAGAACAATATTCCTTAGATATTTCAAGCAGATACTTGGGTAGTTATGAGATTTGAAGTACATTCTGAATGAGCACTTGAGAATCACCTCATAAAGGGAGATAGTCTTTATCTCTCCCAAAGCTTTCCAATAAGAATAAATTTCTACTTGTATTAAATATTTCAGACTTGCAATATATAAAGTATCTGAGATTTCCTTGAACAAACCTTGAAAGATATATTTATCATTATACTATAATCCTCCTCCAAGTGGACACACACACACACACACACACACACACACACGTATGTGCATAAACACACACACAAACCAAAATTCTTGCCATTACCAGAATTCAATCTATTGCTTTGACACATGCTGTTTTCTCTGTATGGCATGCCCTTTCACTGACATTTCTGTCTGACAAAAGCCCTGTTCATCTTTCAAATTCAAATATCACCTTCTAACGGAGGCCTCCCCTAATTCCCCAATTATAGGCACGCTCTCCTTGGGAAGCCCATAACATCTTGTTCATAGCTCTTACATGATATTTATAATATCGTTTACATGCCCTCACCTTGTAGAAAGAAATTATGTTTTATTACACTTTGTGGCCTCAGTTCCTAGTGCAAAGACTGTCATAGAGCAGGCAGTCAATAATATGCTAGATAAACAGTTCATTTGGAAACAAATGTCATTAACATAAATGAATGTATTCTTCACACTGTACTCTGAGAATTCAAAGAGTAAAACTCTATGTTGGGAGTACATCTATGGCTCACTGAAGCATCCCTGGAACCCCTCTCTTCAGAAGGACATGAGCATGAAGAGACAGATAACTGAGCAGTGGAAGGGCACATGTGTCATCCTGCCTCCCTTTGTCTTTCTCCTCGCAATCTCATTTTTACTCATACATTGAGTTATTCCATATACTGACATTCTAGGAGGAGGTTTGTTCCTGACTCCAGTATCCTCACACTTTTTTCTCCTGCTGTAGAGAAAAGCACTCCTCCATGTTGTCACATTAATGGTACTATGTGGCTGACCTTCCCGCAGGAGATGCCCCAGTTGCCCAGACAAGTGGCACCACCTGCCTGGGTGCAGTGGAACGTGCTCCTTCCACATTGCAAGACAGCAGCAACACAGCCAGGAGAGGAGCCCCAGCTGCGACGTCAGTTTTCACTCATTAACACAGGGTCAAAGTGACTCTGCTATTTAAAATGGCTCCATTTTAATTAAATGGAAGCCAGCTTCTGTGTCTCACTCTATCCCGGGAATATTTAATCTGTTACTTGAGGCAAAGGCAGGGAAAACAATAATAATTTGATTAGCTTTTTTGCTTGGGTTTTAATTTCCAGAAGAAATTTCATTTAGATTCAATACTATTAAATGAGTCACTTATAACTACACATTCAACTAATTCATTCAGCAAATATGGCATTTATTGGGCAGTGACATGGTCAGGGTTGTTCTAGGGGCTGGGATAGGCTGATAAAACAAAATAAGCTTGTTCCTTGCTCTTGGAGCTTACACTCTTGGAAGAAGGGAGGAAAAGGGGAAAATAAATGAAAATTAACATGCAATATAACATGTAAGGTAAGAGATAAGTGCTATGAGAAAAACGGAGCAGAGCAAAAGACTAGAGCAGGCCAGAGAAGGCAGATGGGACACATTATTTTACATGGTGTGAGCAGACATCTTCACTACAGTGAGAAGGCTCCTGTGTCTAGATCTGAGTAAAACAGGAAATAAGCCACGAAAAATACCTATAGGAAGAGCATTCCAGACAAAGAACAGGAAGGTGCAGAGGCAGTGGAGTCTGGAGCGTCCAAAGTCCAGCAAGAGGGGCCGATGCGGCTTCAACTAAGTGAGGGAAACAAGTTGGAGAGGTGGGCAGGAGCCAGAACTGTCAAACCTTACAATACAGAATTGACACTTCCATGCAGGTCTAAGTTACTAGGACCCTTGTGACAAGAATTTAATTAGGACCACGTTCAATGTCCCTTACTCCTCTTGAAGGAACAAAAATGAAGTAGCCAATCTAGAATTAGTAAATCCAAGAAAGTTATTCCTGGTGCCAATTGTTCTGTTACTTGTTATGACATTTTTTTTTAAAAAAGAAATTGCCTTTTTAAACATCGTATTTATTTACACTCAAGGGATTCTGCATAAACTGAAATTCAATTGGTCCGAGAGCTTTTACAATGTTGGGGGAAATAATTTCACAACCTGAAAGCAGTGGGAGAGATTTTGTCAAAGCCCTTGTGAAATCTTTTTAAATTCCTAGGAATACAGTTATGTTTTTTTAGACTTTTTGATTAAACCTTAAAGGCAATCTGTTGTTGTTTTATATATGAGAACACTGATATCTGCAAAAACCATCCAGGTCATGATGGCTGATTGAGTCATATTTCAGCAGCAGCTCAGAATGTAGGGAGGGTTTTGGACAAGATACACTCAGACTTACAGTCCGTTCACTATCTTTCTGCCACTCTGAGCCTCAGTTTCCTCAAACTGATTATTATTAGAATCAAATGGAGACAACTAGCCTAGTGCCTGGCCTATCACATGCACTTAAAACTAGTGTTTTTGCTTCCTTAATGCCAGTTGTAATTCGTATAGCTGGTGGACAAGAACATTGCTGTGCTTCCCTGAAAAATAATCTCCAAGGTCACAGTATATTCTGTTTTCTCCATTGACTTTTGCTTTTGTCTTACTATGTTTCTTAGAGGCTAGGTGAGTCAAAGAAGAGTCTTTCCTCCTTCCCAAACATGAAAGCGTTCAAACTGGGAAGGATCCCTGAGGTAACTAGGAACTGTATCACATCATACATACACACAATAAGCAAATAGATCACAAACTTATTAGGCGGGACCTTAAATATTTGTTCTGAGTCTCCCTATTTCATCTCACAGGCCTATGCTTTTATTAAGATGACATTTCTACACTTGTAAATTCACTCCCATGGATGAGTCAAACATTTAGCTTCAGGATGTGGTATATGAACACTGACTAGCTCCAGGATCCACGGTGGCAATTTGTAACTTGAAGAAAGAAAATAAGCAGTAGAATCTAGCATGCAATTTGTTTTCAACTTCTTGTGTGACAATACTTCCTGTAGTGTTTGAAGTTTCTAGTTTCTAAGCTCCCAGGCAAGCATCATTCACCAAATACACACACACGCAAACTTGCTGATGTAAGAGAGTATTTTGTAAGAGAACAACAGAATCCACAGTCTATTAGGATCAGAGGCAAACCCAGGGTTTACTCGCGGGCAGTTTTGTCCATTTGTCTCCAATTCATTGTCATCACTGTATAAAAATGATCTATTTTACAGAGGCTGCAGAACGGCCTCCTTATCCTGTGATGAACTGTCCCAGACAACTAAGCCTGAGACCATAGCCTAGGTTCTTTGTTAATGTAACCTATTGTTACTAGGTTTATTCTTTCCACAAACATGTTAGATATCATATTCCATTTGTTAAAATTCAAAAGCACACATACACAATTATGTAGTAAAATTTCATGTATGTACTAGAAATTCCTTAACAATCTCAATGTGTAAAACCCATCTGTCCTCGCCCATGGCCTTCAGTGTTTTCTTTCTGAGCAGGCATGGTTGCAGGAGAACTTATTTGAAAGTTAGATTTCCTGAACTTAAAAAAACTGTGCAGAATCTTGGAGGTATTGAGGGATATATTTTTCTCCTTTTCCTAACTAAATTCTAAGAAGATAGAAATCTGTCTAGAGCTATATTGAGGAAAACAGACCAGAGAAGAGAAATGGAAATCAACTGTAACACCATTAGAAAAAGGTAAAGTAATCCTTTTCACTGATGTTGTCACCTTTTTCTTTTGTATTTGTTCAGAATTCTTTCCTTCTTCCTTGAGACTTCCATTTGGTTTCCTAGTCCTCCCATCCTCCAAAACTCATGCCTAGTATATCTTATATATAGTTTTGCCATATTTGTCATCTTCTGCAAATTGAACAGAGAATGATTTTTAAATGTCACCACTTACAGATCCCAGTTTTCAACTTTGGCTGTTGTGAAATATGGTAACCACTTCATCAACGTTATTTTCACTAGAATTAGTGATCATTACCATTAATAACACTGTAATATGAAAAAAAATTGTCATCTGCCAGAAAAAAATATAATTTGCTGAAAAATTCCCCACATTCACTATGAAATATGTTTTGTGAAACCTCTTTCATGAAAAGGAGATAATAAATATCTTAAAATGCAAATTACCCTATCCAATGTGGAAAATTATACCACTGGCAAAAGCATTTGGCCATACTTTGACGGAAAGTTTTGCAAGTTTTTTTTAGAATGCCAGGTTCACTAGATGAAGAATGAGACTTAAATCAGATTCAAAAAAACTTTCCTGAAAACTTTACTTTCAATGAACACATTTGAGCGTTAAAAATTCACTTTATTTTTTGAATCTCCCTTCTTACCCTGCCTTATATTATCTCTTGATTAATTTTCATAGAGTAATATTTAGATAAAGCAAGAAAGTAAATCAAGGATTAAAAACAAACTCATCATTGTGTGGTATGTATAAGGAAATGTCTTAAATATCATTACTGATGGACTCCTTTCTTTCCAGGTCACTTATTTTTTTCACGGGTTTCTATTCTATGAACAGTATTTTCTGTGATATAAAATAATCACAGCATACCCATATATAACAGGTAACCCCCAAACCATGAAGCAGCAAATCTATGCTTTTTCATTAATAGAGAAATATAAATAAAACAACCCAAAATAGTGGATTCCAAAATGTACATTCTGGGTTAGTAGTAATAATATCACTAAGAATTTGTAAAAAATGTAAATTATCAAGGCTCTGTCTCATAGATACTGAATCAGAAATTTTAAAGTGCAGCCCAACAAGCTGTGTTTTAACAAGCTTTCTAGGCAAATCTCATGTACCCTAAAGTTTGAGGACCACTGACATAAAGGGTTTTTTTCCTAATTAGGATACATGTTTTATATTTACCTGTGTTCATACCTGAAAATCTTTAAACATCGTCATGACCAATAACAGTCATAGACTTGTCACACAAGTAACACAGAGATAACCATGGGGTTTGTACATCAATATTACAGGAATTGCATTGACCCTGGGTGTGCAAGTCACAAAGAAAAAAAAATGAAGATTTTATAATAAAAAGTAAAAACAAGCCGGGCTCGGTGGCTCAGCCTGTAATCCCGCGCCTTTGGGAGGCTGAGGTGAGTGGATTGCCTGAGCCCGTGGGTTCGAGACCCGCCTGGGCAACTTGGTGAGACCTCATCTCTACAATAAATCAAAAATTAGCCAGGTGTGGTAGCACGCGCCTGTAGTTCCAGCTACTTGGAAGGCTGAGGCAGAAGGATCGCAGGCGCCCACCAGGCGAGGCTGTGGTGACCGGGAGCGGCCACTGCACTCCAGTCTGGGTGACAGAGTGAGACTCCAACTCAAAAAAATAAAATAAAAAATAAAAAGTAAAAATACAAAGACATGTGCAACTATGCAATTCAAAATGTCATTTTAATACTACTGCATATTCATAACTATTCCAATATGAAATAAAAATTCATTTAAATAAACTAAAAGTGTATCACCTAAAGATGCATGGTGGGCAGCTACTCCCAGAAATATATTAGATTGCATGGCTAAATGGACTTTGAAGATGTAATTAAGGTTACTAATCAGCAGACTTTAAAATAGAAATATTATACTGGTGAACATAATCTAATGACACAACCCCTTAAAAACCAGAGATCTTTCTCTGGTTGACAACAGATGGGGAAGTTAGAGATTCTAAGCACAATAAGAATGTGATCTTCTATTTTTGGCTTAGAAATTAAGGAAGCTAAGGACCACATGTGGAGGAAACAGGGACTTCAGTCTCGCACTGCAAGAAACTGGATTCTGAAAACAACCAGTGAGCTTGGAAGCAGAGTCTTCCCAGAGCCTCCCATTAGGAAGTGCCCAGTGAGGCTTACATCCTTTATAAAGTGTTGAGCTGACAGTATTTAGCTAAGCCGTGTAGTATCTAAATTCTGATTCATGGACTGTGAGGTAGTGAATGGTTATTGCTTTAAGTTACCAAATTTGTGGTAACTTTTCAAGGCAACAAAATCAAATGAATACTGGGTGTTAACTTAAAATGCTGTTACAC